TGAAAATCTTCATTGAAATCTGTCTCCAGAATTTAGTTAACAATTTGAAAAAGACATTAACGTTAATGATAATAATGAAAAAAAGATTGCTTATTTTTAACTATTTTGATACCTATAGAACAGAATATTTATATTTTAGGATTGAACTGTGGGGTCTTTGGTGCTCTCTGAACTTGGTTGTTTTCTTGCAGACATATCATTACAAATTAGGTAACGTCTTCAGTTCTAGTAGGGAGTGGGGTTTGCTCTCATTTTATATACTAGTGGCTTGGTCAGTCAGAGTTGGTGGGAATGGTTTTGGTGGCTGAGATCAAATCCGTTGTTTATTAGCACTGATGATGTTAACTAGTTTGGTAATGAAACTTTTGCAAGAATATAACTATTCTGAACTCGTGACAAGCTAGGAAGCAAAGGTAGAACATTAAATCACCAGGACATGTACATGTTTAACTCTGCTTTGTTGATCTTACATTTCACAAAATCTCAATTTTTTTTCTTCCTCCAATTGAGACTTCAGTTTCATTGTTATGCCATTATTTATTATTTTGTCTGTTGATTACAAAGCTATTTCCCCTCATCCTCTCTGTCAGTCTCTATTCTTCAAAAGATCTCCTAGAGTGAAGCAGAAGGAACAGACTATAATTGTCTATAGGCTACAGATCTGCTTGGAATAAAGATATTTGAGGTTTTAAAAAAAGTACCATGGTGGGTATTGATAGGCATTGCAGTCCAATCTACCTAGAATGTGATAGGGATTGTTCAGGTTTTCTAGCCATGAAAGATTATTCTCACAATTTTCACAAAATGAAGTTCTGGAAGAAATACTGCATCCATTTCTGGTCTCCACAATAAAAAAAAATACTGAGATTCTAGAAAGAATAGAGAGAAACGCAACAACAATGATAAGGGATCTGGAGGCTAAATCATATGATGAATGGTTAAGGAAACTGGATATGTCTAGTCTACTGAAGAGAAGGACTAGGGGTCATATGATAGCAGTTTTCCAGTATTTGAGAGGCTGTCACAGCAAAGAAGAAATTGTCTTATTCTCCAAAGTACCTGTGGGCAGGACTAGAAGTAATACAAGGAAGATCATTAAAGAGAGATCCAACCTAAAACTAAGGGGAAATGTCCTGACAGTGAGCACAATTAATCAGTGGAATCTCTTCCCTCCAGAAGTTGTAACTGCTCCATCACTAGAGGTTTTCAAGAAGAAACTGGACAGCCATTTGTCCAGAATGTTATACTGCCTTCTGCTTGAGCAGGGGGTTGGACTAGAAGACCACCAAGGTCCCTTCCATCTCTATTATTCTATGTTGTCATGTCCAGATTGCCCCTTCCCTTTTATAAATGTCTCCAGTAACGTCTCTACTGTGTTTTGTGATGGTTTTGAAAGACGGCTAGACATCAATCAGGGTTCCCCTACCCCATCTGCTATCTCTCCAGCCTGGGTCTCAACAGGGGCAGAGAAGCCTATCAGATACCTGGGTCACCTTGAATAGCTGGTAGCACAAACAACATCTCAAAAGTTCATGGTATGGAACTGCACCACTTGTCAGTCCTTCTTTGAGTTACTTTTGAAAAATGGTTTACTGCTCTTGCAAGAGAGTTGTGGTCTTTTGTGCTCTTCTAAGAGAGAAGCAAAGCCATCTTCAAAAGCAGCCCACACAACAGCTGGCATATGCAGTAATGGGCATATACTTGCACTACGAATCATCCAAGAGGGAGGGAGGAGGCAGGGAAATAGGGGGTGGGTGGGAAGAGATTTGTGTCTCCCCATGAAACGTCAAATACTTCTGCTCATCTGCTATTCTAATTGATCCAGATCTCCAAAATGAGATTTGTTTGAAGAACTGGACTCTTCCACTCACCAAAGTAGGATGTGTGCAGAGATGTAAGAGACAACAGGTACACAAATGACAAAATCTCAAATGAAGTACATAAAATGGTACCATAGTAAAACAATTGAGGTTTTTGCAGTCCTTTGGGTGGGGGAATGCCACTTTAATACCAGTAAAGAAAATGGTAAGTTATCTCAAGACTGGATTGGGGACAAGATGAAGGTAATGGCATGGGGACACTGGGAGGGCAAAAAAGTTTTCTGGATCAAGTTCTTGGTATGGTCATCTGCAAGTGAGAAAAAGCCCAAAGAATAGTTCTGCCTAATATTTTTTTTTAAAGTAAACAAGCAAACAGATGAGACTTGGCTAGGTTTATATGAACACAATCTTATATTTGGATGCATTCTAAATATTGCATATTGTGTAATACGCCAGTGGAAATTTATAATTCAAAATACATTTCACTTTTGGGAGCTATTCTCGAAGATGCAGGAACTAAGCAGACACACCCTTCAATATCCTGATTTAATCACATCCAAGACATACAAAGGCTTGACTAAAATAAAGAGAACAGCGTTAAAACAAAATTCACAGGACAATGGAATAATCCACTTTATTAGGACCAAACATTTTTCTCATAATTAGCATACTTTTATAGTAGTGATCAACACATTAATTGGTAATTGTTAATTCTTCTAAAGAGGAATAAAAAATACTTCAAGGATTACTTAAGAAGAAGGGGACTGGTGCCAAATAGCCAATATCTTCAATTCAAAGTCATTGCTTGGTGAAAAATAATGCCAACCTTCTACCTGTAATGAACGCAGCTTGCTTTGACCTATTTTAACTATAGTTGTTTGAATTACTATTTATGTTGATTCAATATGCAATACTCAGAACTGTCTAAAATGAAAATTAATTTGTTTCTTTGTCAAATGAAAAATAGAACTGACATTTCGGGGGGGGAGGATAATTCTGATTTCTGCGTATCACAGAAAATATCAATCCCAGTTCACTTTAAATTGAAATAAAGAATTTTAAGAAATAAAAGAAAATTTCTTCTATATGCTAACTGCCACCTAAATAACAGGTTTTAATAGTTTTTACATTAGCTAAGAGATAGCAATTCAATCTGAATGATATGATGGCCTTTTGTTCAAAATGAATAATATGCAATACTTTGGATTCACTTCCCAAAAGGTTGTTTGCCATATGCATAATAATCTATGTCAGTGGTTCTCAACCTTCCTAAAGCTGCGACCCTTTAATACAGTTCCTCATGTTGTGGTGACCCCCAACCATAAAATTATTTCTAAGACCATTGAAAATATGTGTTTTCCGATGGTCTTAGGCGACCCCTGTGAAAGGGTCATTCGACCCCCAAAGGGGTCCCGACCCACAGGTTGAGAACCACTGATCTATGTGATTTTGGGAAAAGATGCAGCTATTTTAAAGAGTTGCAGATAGATGCTATGTTCAGGATTACATGTTCCTAAGCATCACTTGGGACTAAAATCTGAAGATCTGGATATCTTTACTAAATATGATCTAGCAAATGTTGTGTGCTGCATGAATTTTGGATTGGATGGAGGTATAATTATTTACAAGTAAGCCCTGTTGAGTTCAGGTGAATTTACTTTACTGAAGATGGATAGAATAAGATTCAGGTTAATCCTTTCTCATGTAAAGCCATTATAAACCATATCAGTAGATGAAGTGCTGTAAATTGCTCTGAATAAAGAAAATGTGGCATTGAAATGTACAAATGATCCATTAATTTCAAAACAGGGGAAGATAACATGATCACTGGTGCTTAGTTCTAAAACAATGGTTAAAAATGTTTATTGCACTGGAAAAATTTAAGTAATCATAAAGAAAACATCTGGGGAGAGTATTTAAATCCCTCCAGGTTTCAAGAATAATTTTTTTAATTCCAAAGATAGGACTTTAATAAATAAATCAAAACAGTTGGAATCCACTGGTGTTTATTTAACCTAAGCAATCTGCTTCAGCCATCTGTTCTGAGCAGCTTTAGAAATGATAAGATTCCAGGAGCATGGTTAAACTATCAAAGAAAGATTTGTGGCTTTCCTGGAGTCACTTCTTCATGGCAACTGCCTGAGGTTCTAGCACTTAAAGCTGTAGCACGTTTGGAAAGAAGAAAACTGTTCAGTGGTGGGATTCAGCCAGTTCTATCCAGTTCAGGCAAATCGGTAATGGCTGCTGTGGGAGGCTCTGCCCACCCACCCGGACATCATCACATCCTGTTTTCGATGCTCTGCGCATGCGCAGACGTGGCGCGCACACTCACATTTGCAACCAGTAGCGAAGGTAAGTGAATATAACCCCAGAACAGTTGTGTGAAAAAGAACTGAATGAAAGCCTACAATTACTGACTTTCACTCAGCAGACTTTCAGCTATTTCCTCAAGAGATTTCAGTGGCCTTGTGTAGTTGTGTAAGGCAAGAATTGCCCTCATTGGAAATTGATTACCTTCCCCAAGCTCTGCAAACCTTGGTGTGTTTCCCCTTGAAATGCAGCATTATTTATAAATAAATTGGCTCTGTGTTCAAAGAAAGACAGCACTGAGCATCACACAAGTGTTTAGTAAAGCTGGCAGCAAGGCAAATGTTGGAGGCACAGTGTTTGCTGTGTTGGAGTGGTCCTCTGATCTGGTGCAATTCCAATATGGTAGATCTGCAACTCTGCAACTGGTTCTAGGTTGGAGAAAAACTACCCTACACTATGCCAGTCATAACTACTTGTCCATTTTTTCTGACTTCTTGTGTGTGTTTAACTGCTGTTCCAGTGATGGCTGATTGTATTTCCAGAGTCCAGCACTTCAAGCTGTTTTTCAGCTCAATTGCATACAGGGAAGGGATTTTGGTGTTGTATTTTTAAACAGAATAAGTAGATGAACACATTATCCTAAATCAGTGGTGTCAAACTGGCGGCATCACATCATCACATGACGTATCATAGCTTTTATCCCCTTCTATAAACTGGGAGTGGGCATGGCCAGCACATGTCGCATATGGCCTGTGGACCGTGAGTTTGACACCCCTGTTCTAAATCATAGCCTCATTTAATCATGACTTGTTGAATAACTCACAATGGCAAGTTTCAGCATCATATTACATATAGAAACAAGCTATGTAATTCATTTATTTATTTATTTATTGGTTTGATTTATATGCTGCCCTTCTCCGGAAATTCAGGGCGGCTTACAATGCATTAAGCAATAGTGTTCATACTTTTGTATATACCTGCTTAGTAGGGCTTTTGGCCTTTTTATACAAAGTCAGCTGATTGCCCCCACAATCTGGGTCCTCATTTTACCTACCTCGAAAGAATGGAAGGCTGAGTCAACCTTGAGCCTGGTGAGATTTGAACTTGCAGTGATTGCAGGCAACTGGTGCTACTTAACAGCACTTTAGTCTGCTGCGCCACCAAGGCTCTTGCTTAGTGCAGTGTATTAATATTACTAATGAGGTCTGCTTTCAGGGAATAATGCATTAATTCACATTATATCTGTGCCCAGCATACATTTTTCAATATATTTTGACACTTTTCCTACTATTTTATTTATCTAATTTCAATTTCCTAAACTTTCTTAAAAGGGCGAAGGGAATATTTCACAAATAATAACACAGTTACAATCTCTTAGAATTTTTAAAATTTAACCATTGTCATCAAGGACTTTAAATTGCATACAACACTGTTTCTTGCACATGATGGGTTTTTCTTTTAAAAAATCTAGTTTAGAAAGAAGAAGAAAAAAGAAAAAAATATGGACTAGTCCTCTTTCGAGAATGATCTGCCACTCTCCAACATAGACATCAAGCTCTTCATAGTTTTTTATAAACACGAGTACATTTGACACCATTGAAGTCACATTCCTGGAAAATAAAAAGATATATTCATTCTCTTTTTTACAAACAGATTGTTTGGAAATAGGATAAGGTAGGTGGATATTTATGGTATTTGAGACAAGTTACACTTCATTTATAGTGTACAAATTTAGCATAAGAGACAGAGAAAATTCTACTTACAACTATCAGTTTCCCATCATCTATCTTCCTTGTTATTGTGGTTTCTTTGCCATCCCACTGCTGGGTCTGGGTTAACACATTGTTGTCATTTAAACTGATGAGGGTCTGTAAAGGAAGACAGAATTTTAGTAGCGTGCTCCTTCCTTCATGTGTTGATTTTCAGTTTGTCTTGAGGCTAAAAGAAATGAAACTATGGGTTTTAGGCTTGTGATTCTACAGTGTGGTACACAATCAAAACCAGAAGCAAACTATTCAGGCACTTCATGACTGCAACATCTTTTAAAAACTTTAGATTTCTTGCTTCTTCTCTAGCCACTCCTTTTTATAACATTATGGCTGATGAAGAATTCTGGAGAACTGACAGTGTGCCCATTGTTATTTGGCTTCATTCTAATAAAAGGACTACCCAGCTATGTATTTTATATCTATTTGTTTAAATAATTATTATCCAGGGAAAGGCTAGCCTAAGTACTATCCTTCCTGCTCATATGAAGTGTTTTTCCTGAGTGACAACTTATTTAACCTTTGTAATGACTACATGGTTTATCTAACCACATGCAATATTCGATTACACACTGAGGAAAATTTCAGCAGGTGCCAAATTTGTAACTATGTGGAAAGTTCTTTCATTAGATCAAAGGAGACAATACTCTCATGCCATTTTAAATATATCTGCTATCTCCATTTCCCTGTTAGTTTTTCAGGATTATGGCTTCCGTCCAAGCCTTCATCCAATCTTATTCTTAACCATAACTTGATCCAAGAATTCCACACCCTACTGACTGACCAAGTTCTTCCCCTCTGAAGGCAAGGATAGAAAGACAAAACATTCTTCACAAATTCTCCATGAGAACAGCAACACCCTTGGCCACAAGTATATAATTGGAAACACAAATACAATTTAAAAACATCAGTGGAAAAACTAAACAGATCGTGGAAGCTCTATGCAGCTGTACATTTTTTTAACTGTAAAACCTGCAGCAATCGTTGCCAGTAGCTTGAAGAACAGCCAAACACATTTTGAGCCAAAAGTAGAGTATTAAAAGGATGCCCAGAACACCAACTACTAAATACTTGAAGGATTTGATCACTTTACTTGGGTTTCCACTATGGAACACATTTTGGAACAGTTCATTGCCCCATGATGGACCTGACTATTTGTCCCCATTCCTAATCTTAACAGCACCCCAAAATGTGTTCCTTTGACTCATAGTATAGTTATCTCCCATCATTATCATATATCTACTCTCAGTGTTCTACAGTTCCCACTGCAGAATTTTTATTTCCATTTTTTCAACAGAAAAACATCTTTGGCTTTTTGTTGTTGCTGTTTAAAGCAATGGGTAAATCTGTGCTTTTTGTGGCTAATCTGAAACTCTCACATAATACTCCATTTTATCCTGCTGGGATTGCTGCTTCTGAAGTTCCATGATGGTTGGCAGGCTCTAGTGATACTGTGGTTCCTACTCCAATAATTACTTTTTTAAAAATAGTAATTATAAACCAATGGAAAATTGCTTTAAATTATGTGAAATTGTTTCCTCTTATCTTAATATAAGAATATTGCTTTTTTAAATGTATAATAGAACCAGGGGTGAAATCCAGCAGGTTCTGGAGAACCGGTAGCGGAAATTTGGAGCAGTTGAGAGAACCGGTAGCGGAAATTTTGAGTAGTTTGGCGAACTGGCAAATACTACCTCTGGCTGGCCCAGAGTAGGGTGGGAATGGAGATTTTGCAGTATCCTTCCCCTGGAGTGGAGTGGGAATGGAGATTTTGCAGTATCCTTCCCCTGGAGTGGGGTGGAAATGGAGTTTTTGCAGTATCCTTCAACTGTTACACCCACCAAGCCACGCCCACCAAGCCACACCATGCCCACCAAGCCATGCCCACAGAACCAGTAGTAAAAAAGTTTGGATTTCATCACTGAATAGAACTGTAATTCTATAGATGAGATATTTTGCTCATATGTTTTCAACTTGTCCTATATGATCTGCTCATATTAGATTAGATGGTTGATTTCACTCTGAATTAAACATTCTATTATTCTTGATTATGCAGGTAGTCCTTGGATAACAATAGAAACTGAAATAGAGAACTGTGTCACTAAGCAATGAAGCTGTAAAGCATGATGTCACATGCGTATGGCAGTTCTGGCACTTTCAGTTGCTGTTGTTAAGCAATCAATGCTTAACATGTGGATATTAAGCATGAAGTTATCATGGTGCTGAATAAGGAAATTTACGATCGATCCTTGTGACTGCAGCCATCATAGAGTCCCTGCAGTCACATGATTGTGGGTTGGGCACTTGGAAACCAGCTTGCAATTATGACAACTGCAGCACCCCATTAGCCCATGATAATTTAATGGGAATTTTAGATTCTTTCATTGATTGAATTTTAATTTGGACTTAATTTGTTGCTTATTGCTGTGAGCCACCCTGAGTCCTTGTGGAGAAAGGGTGGCATATAAGTCCGATAATAAATAAATAAATAAACAAACAAACAAATAAACAAACAAACAAACAAACAAACAAACAATCATTTGGACCTCCTGCTAGCTTCCCCATTGACTTTGCTTGTTGGGGGCTTCTGGTGAAGTACACAGCATGCAGCTAGGGTTTCTCTGTGTGGGGGGGTTTAGTGGACATATGATATTTTGCCTTGCTGTGTCTTTTTTCTGTTCTTTATTTGGTGTTTTTTGTAGGCTGCTTTGCTATCTGAGGTATTCAGTAAGCCTTCATGATACACAAGTTTCAGTGCATCTTCTTTACCATCCTTCAAATATTCTTTCAATGCCCTTTTCTCTTCTTCTTCAGCTGTCTGAAGTACTTGCAACATTCCATGCCCAGCATGTTCACTGTGTGGGTGATGAGCATGATTCATTGTCATGATTTTTCTGGTCTTCCTATCTAGGGCTTTCAGTTCTGCTTGAGTCCAGTCTACTATTCCAGCTGTGTTCATTTCCTTGATGGCATTTCCTCCACTAAGCTTGGATTTTAAGACCTTCTTATTCCCTTCTAACCTCTGTTTTTACTTTAGTGTGCTTAATGTTGTCAACTGTTATTATTATAGTTGATGTTACACTGGATTTGACATTTTTATACACTATCAAGTCCTTCCCAAGAACCTGGGATGACAGAAATTCTTTGGTGGTGGTGATGATGATGATTATATTATTATTATTGACATAAAAATGTAAAATCACAAGTCTAGTCCTTTAGCTGGTGTTGGTCTTCATAGATCAAGTTCTTCCCAAGAATCTAGGATGTTGTAATCTATATGTGTAGATCCAAGCACACCTTTTGTAATTGATAGAATGAAATTTTGTCATTGTGCAGATTTTCTAAGCGCCATCCAAGACTTTTTGGTATGGCACTCAGTGTGCTGATCATCACTGGGACCAACATAGTTTATGCCATAACCTTTCAAGTTTTTAGATCTTAATACTTTGCAATCTTCTCCCATTCTTTGCCTTGCATTCTACTACTTGTTGGATCACTACATGTCCACTTCTTTCTTTTTAACTACAGTTTATTCTGGTGTTTTATGAGCCAAGGCTTTATTAATTTGTATTTGGAAATCTCACAATATTTTAACTTGCATTCCAGACCATTTTTTTATAGCATTCTTCTTTCTTTCTTTCTTTCTTTCTTTCTTTCTTTCTTTCTTTCTTTCTTTCTTTCTTTCTTTCTTTCTTTCTTTTCTTTCTTTCTCTCTCCCTCTCTCTCTCTCTCTCTCTCTCTCTCTCTCCCTGCCTCCTTCCTTCCCTCTCTCTCTCCCCCACTTCATGGTCTGTTTCTGTTACTCCCTCTGAGAGGAAGTTTCAAAGTATCTATAGTGGTACTACTAGATTCTGTAACAGCTTTGTTCCTTGTGCCATCCGTGTTGTAAACTTGCAAGATCCTTTTTTTTACCATGTATATGTATACACTTGAATTAGACTATGATATTTCTCTGTACCATATATGTGTATGTGGGTATAAGCATAATGGTTATCTTTTGAGAGCTGAATGAACGGAAATTTTATTTTAATGTATATTGATTAGTGTACATTTAAAATGACAATAAAGATTCTATTCTATTCTATTCTATTCTATTCTATTCTATTCTATTCTATTCTATTCTATTCTATTCTATTCTATTCTATTCGTTATGCTGGAACTCCAAATTGAACATATATGGATAACAGACACAACCCATATCTGGACCTGTTTAACCACTATACCAGGAATGAAATGCTACCGGTTTGGCTGAACTGGTAGCAACGGTGGCGGGTGGTTCGGACAACCGGTAGCAGCGGCAGCATGAGACTCCGCCCACCCGCCCGATCGTTACTTCCTGGTTTTAACCAGGAAGTAACCTGTTTTTTACCCTCTGTGCAGAAAGGCGCAGAAGGGTTTGCACATGTGCAGAGGGTCCAAACGTGCATGTGATGCACGCACGCAGCGCATGCACTTCCAAACTGGTAGGGAAGGTAAGTAGATTTCACCCCTGCACTATCCCCATGCAAACTCATCTGCATTTAGATCACAGATCATAAGGATGATTCATACAACACTTGAAAAATGGCAAATTTCAGAAAAATATGGAATACTAATAAAAGATAAATCTACAATACTTGGCATCTAGAAATTGATGCATGATGTAGAAATATGTTGCTTGAATGATCAGCATTGAAGCATTGAAATTCAGTTAATATATTCAGCATCACTGTCTACTCGATTTTGTGAAAGATCTAAGCCTCATTTCCAAATGCATTTAAATGTTTTCAACAAATTACTCTTTTCTACTTCTTCCCAGGTAAATGACACTGCTTATATAACCACAGTTTCCTGTTCATTCATGTTTTTTCCTCTGGGTGTATAAAAAAAATGACAGAAAAATATATATTAGAGCAGACATCCCCAACTTTATGGCTATCTACATGCCTGACACTGTAATAAAAATACGACTTGGTAAGGCTTACTTAGAGACAATTACCCAGAAACATAAACACCACATACAAATTACCCTCAAGCTGATCAGCTCTCCTGGTTTATACAGTGGATCCAGGTAAAGATAATATTTGTAAAGTTCAGTCTACAAAACTGTTCTCTATTACACATTCTTGAGTTAGAGTTTTATTTCTAACATTTTTGTTTATTTATGTGTGGTAATTGCCTTTGCAGACATATGTAAATTGAGAGTAATGTTATGAGTTTTATCCCCGTATTTTGCAAATGCACCAGCTCTTGAATCTGGCTTAGATTCAGCTCAAAGAGTTAGTTCAGCACAGCCACCAGAAGTTGGCTGTAACAATTAAAATGAGCACAAAATGACAGGGAAGGGATACACATATCTGGTTGTATAAGATTGTACAAGAACAGTGGCAAAACTCCTCTAGGTGTGATCACTGATGAATAGAAAAATGCATTTTACAATGTGGGGTTGTCTGACAACTGAATACACTGTCCAGAGAAGCTCTTTATTCCACTGTTTCCCATATAGATTTAACTGTTTATGGCAATGGTGGCATTGTTTTATGGCCCAGAGCCACACTTAACATTTTTCAGGAGCAAAAGACTGAAAAACTGGATTTTGGAAGAAGGTAGATTTGTTAAAACAACTGGGACAAATGAGTTTTAATCTAAGAACTGAGACCAAACAACATCATACTGATCCATGAAAAATTTTACTTGAGCATAAATGCACTTTTCTGCCACCTGGAGAACTGGTAATCAATGCTGTTTGCAGTGCAAATGATTCTGCTGGTATTCAGTGGGCATTCTTAAGCATGCGGTCCAGAGGTGGTATTCGCAGGTTCTGACCAGTTCTGGAGAACCAGTAACGGAAGTTTTGAGTAGTTCGGAGAACCGGTAAATACCACCTCTGACTGGCCCCGCCCCCATCTATTCTCTGCCTCCCGACTCCCAGCTGATCGGGAAGAAATGAGGATTTTGCAGTAACCTTCCCCTGCCACACCCACCAAGCCACGCCCACCAAGCATTGCCATGCCACACCCACCAAGTCTCACCCACAGATCCGGTAGTAAATCCCTCTACAAATGTGGACTGAGCTTAAGTTCTTAAACTAGTTTCTTCATATTACAAAACTCACCAGCACTATCAGATCAAAACAGCACAGCACAGAGTTTTTAGGAGTAGTTTGGGCATATTCTGGGAGTAATGGACTAATTTGTAAGTCAAGGATCTAGTTTGGGACTGCTACTGCTGAGATATTTGAGTTAAAACAGCAGAATCTGTATTTTTGTGGAGGTAATGACATTATTCGACTTCAGGAGTCATTGAACGCAATAGTTAAAAATCAGTTTAGCATGTCATATACTTGGTATGTTCCCTGGGTTACAGTCTCATTTACCTGAGTTTTTCGACCATCTATCGTGTTTTCATCAAATTTTTCATCTAACTTGAAGCTGAATTCTGAGGTCTTGAAAGTGCTTTCAGTTCTGACTGTGAAAGTATCGCCATTCTTGCTGATGATAATATCTGGCTTGGCCATATTTCCCATCTTTCTCATTGCCATACCTACCCCTGCCAAAAGGAGAGAGAATTTACTTTTAAATAGGTTAACCAACCACAGTCATTATATAGACACTCTCACACAAGATTATCTTTTTTAATTATCTAGCATGAGAGGGAGTTTCCCAGTCAATGAGTTTACTGCCCCTTCTCATTAAATTTTAATTATACATCAAACTTGCAAAACTCTGTAAAACTCAACCTAACCTAAAATGACTTCTATTCAGAATTCAAATGCTTGTATGGAGAGAAAAGCATATTCACAAGTCTGCAGTAGGATTGGAACAAAATCATTCTACAGTGTGTCAGTATATTTCTTCTCACTGTAATCTATTACAGCAACTTCTGGTAAGGCAAAGAAAAAATCAATACAGAGTAATTACTTTGACTCCCATAAACATGAAGTTTGTGTCATTCCAGGGGTCTGGGTTCAACAGATTTGGAGACCACAAAATTGCCACCTTTCAGATTGGCTTATATTTCCTGAGTGAGTTCTGGATTTTCCTGTGTCTAGTTTTAAGGCAGGAATATTGGTTAGGAACAGACTTTTTGTAAAATGTAGTATATTTTAATTTAAATGGGCCCCAGAACTCAGCTCATTGTGCAATATTTTGGCTACAGGAACCAAATGTATTAAATAATCATCACTGAACTCTGTATTTCAGTGAAATTGTTTCAGAAGGAGGGGGAGAGAGAGAGAAATTCAAATAAAATAGTTGTAAGGATATTAATTCTGTTCTCTTTCTAGTTTCTATCTCAGCAGGAGTCACTGCAAATGATGACTAAACTCTGTCATTGCTAGACTCAGTTTTGTCTTCCTTGGCATGAAGTTGCAGGAAATTTGCTCATCTTGCAACATTTCCAGTGCTGCATCAGACTATTTGAAACTCCTAAATATTAGAACCATACATTCTGTTAATATAGACCTGAGCAAAGTCAGGTAAAATACAAGAAACATAGCGTAGCATATATTACAGAAATCCATTTTTTTTAAAAAAAGAAACACTCTTCTTCCCTGGGGGAAGTTCAAGAAAAGAGCAACTGTATTCATTTAAAGCCATCATCCCTACATGCACAACTCATTCAGTCCTGTTTTCCTTCTCTCTCTTACACACTTTTCATATGCAGCCCAGCTGCAATCTTAGTTTGCTCATCAGCTCCATTGAAACAATGTCTATCTGTGTGCTTGTTATAAAAGCTGTCTGAGAATGTCTTTGCAGAGCTTGGAGAGAGCATTTTTAAGAGCTGAAAAAAGAGACACAAAGCTCATAATTCCATATTTCCAAATCTTTATAGGCTTCCAAAAGGAAAAAAAATTAAGCTTTTTCATTATCATCATCCATCACTGTAACCTAGATGACAAAACCATATGCACGTTTTAGTGAAATAGGGCTGCATGCTGAAAAGCATATTTTGCATAGCAACTGAACAGAATCCCAAGTATTGCATACATACAAAACAGACTACACATAGACACACACAGAGAGACACAGAGAAAGAGATACAAGCATACTACACATACATAGGACACTCTGAGCTACAATCAATATTTCATTTTAATCCAAAGCAGCCATTTTAAACAGACAAAGCCACACTTCTCCTAAAAAAAAAAAAGGGATGGGCACAGGGTAGGGTGAATTACATAGTTTTTAACAGCAATCCTACATTTTTTGGTCAATTGCACTTCGGAGATCCACATTCACCAGGAATTGCCATCTGCATCTTTGAATTTACACACACAAGTACAAGAATGGAACATATACATAAGAAAATGTGATGTTGCTTATATTATTATTATTATTATTATTATTATTATTATTATTATTATTATTATTATTATTATTATTATTATATTTAATCTTCGATTCGACTCACAGCCTGGAACTGATAAAAGCTTCACAGTTCAAGTCCTAACCAAGGACCTAAGAGCTATTAAGTTAGTGTCTGAGTATATAGGCAATTATTACTATCATCATCATCATCGCACAGTCAGCCAGGTGTTCAGACTGGGCTTGGCATTTTTGTCTAGCTATCGAGTCTTTTACCAAGGACCTGGGATGATGATAATGATGATGATTGATTGCCCTATTTTTCAGCCATACTATCCAAATCCTTCTTTTAATGTTTTGCCCAAGAGGAACCGGAGGTCTGTAATTCCCCTTTGTGAGAAGAAGGATTAATGTTTCTGTTCTTGTCATAATTCCCTTACATTCTTTTTTCTTTCTTTCTTTTTTTTGACAGCATTCCCATTTCCCTTCCCTTCTTACCTAATTCTTTCATATAATCCTCAAAACCTTCACTGGAGACCAGGCTCCATTTGCCTAAGAAAGCTTCCATGTTAGCCATTGCGCCGAGCCGGAGATGCTAAGAGTCGAGCCGCCGGGGAAGAGAAGAGCCGAGCTAAGGAGGCTGACAGAAAAAAGCTCCAAAGCAGAGACGGAGAAGCGAGGTGCGGGCCGGGTGCCTTTATCTTAGCTGTCTTGGGCATGTGCTGCCGGCCAGGGCCAATGGAGAAGAGCGACGTCAGCGCGGTCGCCCTCGCCCTGCCCTTAGCCAGAGGGAAGCTGCGGTGGGCGATGGTGGTGAGCAGCGGGGCTCGCCAAGTGGTTGGTTCGCTTTGGAAGGAAAGTGCGGAGGGCTCGCTGGAGGAGAGTCGCGCCGCCACTGCTGATGCTCGGAAGGCGCCGGGATCCCCACCGCAGCTCCGCCCCCTTCTCAGTGGCGAGGCCAGGCTGGGCTCCCTCAGCTCTGGCGTGGTTGCGCAATTGCCTTACCTAAACTTCTGGGTTCCCGGGCGGCGGAGGCAAAAGCGCTGCGTTTCTACTAACGCAGACTTCGTCCGCTCCCGCCCCCCCCCCCCCCCGTTGCTGTCTGCAGACCTTGGCTGATCTCGAAATGCTGTCCCGGCTCAGACCAGGGATTCCCCCAGGAAATCCACTGCCGGCAGTTAGTGAGGGAAGCTGAAAAATGATCCCCGCCGCGTGAGATGACAAACGACGATTGTAATCGTTGATCGGTTTCTGAGGGCTGCCAGAGGCGAACGCGATTGGAAGGAGGGGGCTTTATTACCCAACCTTCTACTTCAGCAAAAATTTGAGAATGGGGGAAGGACACTTATATTCATCCATCCTTTGTATCAGAATGGAGGAAGGAAGTTTCACACTGCTTTATATTGGATATTGGATGGATCTCAAGACCAGCTAGGAACGAATGAGCCATTTGTAACCGTAATCCGCCCTCTAGGTATGCCCAGCTTTTCCTATTCCTCTTTTACTAAAGATACAACCTGAAATAGGGGCTGAGGAAATCAAAAGCTATATGAGGTAAAGCTGTAAAACCTGTTACCAGCAGGTGCAATAACCAGTTTAGTTAATTATAGGATCCAAGTGACTCAGATATGACTGGCCGAAACTACCTTGATGGCTGATTTTGCCTCCTTGAATACCAGCTTTTTTTAGGGAAAGGGCAATTAGTAGTAAAAAGAATTGTCACTTTTTTGACTAACCTCTGGATGCACCATGGTGGCCAAGGTTGACTTATTACAAAACACTGAATTTACACTGACTCTTATTCTATCCTTCTTGTGGAAGCTGTTTTTTGAACCCACATCTTGTGCTTTGAGAGAGCAGAACTGGTATGACATCTATTATACTACAGCTCTTACTTAAATGCACACATATGTGAAGATCATAAAGTTTGTGACATGATGTTGTTTTTATCACTCTGGCAAAAAGAGCCCGATCCTGTGGATGCCACAATTGTGTAAATGTAAGAGACTCTTGTGGGAAACAACACTCTTCATTTGCCTGACACCTCCTGCATTGGTACCTATAGGAGGGTATCAGTGTGAGTGGTGCTTTCTTAAAGACAGCAAATGCCTGCAGCTCAATAAAGCGGTATATAAAGCCGTATATAAAGGCTTATATACTGCTTCACAGTGCGTTACAGCCCTCTCTAAGCATTTTAGAGTCAGCATATTGCCTCCAACAATCTGGGTCTTCATTTTACCAACCTCAGAAAGATGGACAGCTGAGACAATCTTGAGCTGGTGCAGTAGTGAGTTTCACTTACCTTCGCTACCGGTTTGGAACTGTGAGAATGTGCATGTGCATGCTTGCTTCGCTCACGCATGGCACTTCTGCACATACGTAGAACCTTCTGCGCATGCTCAGAGCGTCTGTGATGACATCTGGGGTGGGTGGAGCCTCCTGCCGCCACCGTAGCCACCGCTACTGGTTTTCCCGAATTGAGGTGAACCGGTAGAAACCCATCATTAGCCTGGTGAGAATCAAAATGCCAAATTGCTGGCAGCAGGCAGTCAGCAGAAGTAGCCTGCAGTACTGCATTCTAACCACTGGGCCACCACGGTTCAATATATTTTAAAAATGTGAGGAATGTTCAAAATTGTTGATTGCTTTCTTTAATGTATATATTATTCTTTGCTTATCAAGGGCCTCTCCTGTTTATGTTTAAATAATGTTACTTAACATTTATCATGGAAAAGTGTAGTATTAGAACTAAGGCACACAGGGTCAATCACCACCCCATATACAGGCAAGCTTCGACTTATGGCCACAATTGAGCCCAAAATTCCAGTTGCCAAGCACCCAAAATTTGATCATGTGATCATGGGGGATATTGCAATGGTCATTGGCATGAAAATTGGTCATAAATCACTTTTTTTTAGTGCCATTGTAACTTTGAATTAACCACTAAACAATGGTTAAAAGTAGTAGTTCCTGTACCTGTACAGTACCTGTAGTTCAGGAGTCCTTCAGCATTGTTAAGGATGGGATGAGCTTCTGAAAGAGGCTTAGTTAATACAAGATGGAGATATCGAAAATACTGTCATCTTGTCCTGGAGACGGGGGTTGCTCTCCTGAGGAACCAGATTACCCAGTTACCTTGGGAGTAACTCGTGGATCCATTATTGTTATGGCTTTGTGGGGCTTTTAACATCTTAGGCTGATAAAAGATTAATGAATGAAAATAGCTTTGCCTGATGCTAGGCAATATTGTATTTCATCTGTATTTGCCATCCCTCGTGTATAAAGCTGTGATCAAAATGGGTGAGGCTGACTGTTAATTAAGTTGGCTGACACAACCATCCATTAGTATACCTTTCTTCCTCACATGCTAATCAGAGGAACATGACCTGTGAGAGGTAGTTGTCCCTTCTGAATTGGTTCTTAGCAGCTGGATTTTAGGGCGTGCTGCCTTGGATTTTGTTTGCTTGAACAATTTAGTGGTCATCTAACTCCTAAAGACTCCTGGCAGTTTATAGTTTTAAAAAAAACAAGAATACCACAAAAACATGAGGGGGGGAAAGTACCCTAAAAGGAGGGAGGGAGAGGGGGAGAGTGAGAGAGAGAGGAAGCTGTCTATGGTTGATAGCACAGAGGAAGGTATTATCAATCTATTCCAAGCCTTTGGAAAGCAATCAGGTTTTAAACTTTTTCTTGAACACCATCACTTTTCAGTGCTACCAACCATAGAGACCTTCCTCATCCATAATTTTACCTAGTTTCCTTTTAAACTGTACACTGATGACCACTACCACATATTTATTTATTTATTCATAAAATTTATATGGACAACTTTCACAAACTCTGGGTTACGCAGAACATGTAGTTCCATAGTTTATGTGTTGTGTTTAGAAAAACAAAAAACAAGCACTTAGTTCACCTGATTCTTCCTATAATGAGCTTCAGTGGATCATCCTAGAAGTCTCTGCCATTTGTTGTCCTGTAATTTACTGCACTTCTACTAACTTTATTGCTGATTTTTATCTTGAGCTTATTCTGCTGCTTTTATTAGCCTTTAATTGTTTTTTTTTTAATTTTTAATTTATTTCTTTACAACAAAATATTTATTCTCACACAGATCATGACGGGAGCTTTACACAGTATATTAACTTCAGTCAAGATATACAAATAAAAAATAAAATCTACACTAACCTTATCCTTTTTTTTATTCTATTATTCAACCAGATATACCATTGGTCCCAACATTGAAAATATACGGAATCCTTTTGATCTCTCAGAATTTTTGTTAACCTGTCAGCTTCCGCATATTCGATAATTTTTCCCAAAATCAAATCTTCAGACGGTAGGTCTTTCCCCTTCCAATGTTGAGCAAAACATATTCTTGCTGCAGTTGTGATATATTAGCCTTTAATTGTGTTTTGGTTTAATACACAAATAATTTTTATTATCAGATAAGGTCATATTGAAAGAAATAAAGAAGCCTGAGCGTATTAAAGGTTAGAGCATACAAGACAATTTTTATTGCCTATCAAAAACACAGTGATTTTTCCCAAAATGGAATCCTAAGTGCAAAGAACAGTTACAGGAATTGGGTATGTCTAGTCTAATGAAAAGAAGGACTGGGGAGGAGGACATGATTGCACTGCCCTAATATTTGAGGGGCTCCTACAAAGATGATGGGGTGAAACTATTTTCCAAAGCACCAAAAGACAAGACAAGAAACAATGGTTGGAAACTAACCAAGGAGAGAAGCAACCTAGAACTAAGGAGAAACTTCCTAACAGTGAGAACAATTAACCAATGGAATAGCTCACTTTCAGAAGTTATGGGTGCTCAATCACTGAAGGTTTTCAAAAACAGACTGGACAACCATTTACCTGAAATCATATAGGGTCTCCTGCTTGAGCAGGGGATTGGACTAGAAGTCCTCCAAGGTCCCTTCCAACTCTTATTATTCTATGTTCCATGTTCATACTACTGATAAGCCTTCTTGCCTAACATATTTACCAGTACACCAGATTAGCTCCTAGATAGGGTGGAACATATAATGGAGTCTGATAGTTATTTATAGAATTGTGAAATTTTGTGGCATCTAGTTGTTCCAGAAAATAATATTACCATATTTCAGTGTTGTATAACAGTGTCCTATTTTTATAAATTTCTTATGCAGGTGACATATGAAGGACCATACTGGAGTCCCTAGAGTTCCAAAAGAAGGCTATTGGTTATGCTGGCTTTGAATTCTGCGTGTTTCAACACCCTGTAAGAACTCTGGGCTGGAAAAGACTACACAGCATTTCTTTCTGTGTCCTCTTTATTCTTAAAATGAAATCTGGGACATATTCAGCATTTTTAAATAGCATCCGGTGGTTTTGAACATATAAAGGGAAGAAACTCAATCAGTGCTAGTGAAATTTAAACTCTCTGTTTTCAGAAAGTTCTATAAAGCTCCAGAAATTCAACTCGGGTCCTGTGCTCCTAACTTTTACGTCCTGCTTATGCCTATAATTTTGGAATCAATTTCATCAACCAGTAGAGCATAAATTTTCCAATAATATACAATATGTCAGCATATAGAACAATGCAAAGCACAAAAAAGGAATGAGGGTGAGATGATTCATATGAGAGGAGTATATGAAAAGATTGAAGATCAGTAGATACGATTTTATTGAGACACTGTGAGAAAAAAAAATAAACTCACAAGCAATTAT